TTTATATATATATATATATCACTGCATTTCTTACACTGCGTAAAAAAAATAACTGAGCGAGATAACATGAAACATGCAATCTATCTTCTATCCCATGCTTTGTTCTGTTTATCAAAACTCAAATTCACATAGGGCCTACTACTAGGGGGTAAGGTAACCTATCTTCTTTTAGTGTTCATTTGTTACTATTTTTATCAAAACTAATCGAAAGTATTATTATTGTTATTAAATTTGGATGGTGTTAAATTTGATAGAGACATGTATAGCTGATAAATTAATATGTATCAACAATTTTATTGTTTATCTTTTAGTTGTGAAAGATTTTGCCATTGTCGGAATACACACAAAACCAACTGCAGCCTTTGAAGAAATCGACAGTTTAGCAGATGTTTATAGGGACATAATACAGAAGTGGGAGATTAATGTAATGATATATTATTCTACTGCTGCTGACGCTAATACTACTACCGGTGGTGGTGGTGGTACTACTACTACTACTGCTGCTGCTACTGCTACTACTACAAATACTACTGTTACTACTACTGCAGCTGCTGCTACTGTTGCTGTTGCAACTACTACCTACTACCTGCTGCCTACTATCTACTACCACCTACAAATGCTACTGCTGCTGCTACTGCTACTACCACCACCACCACTACCAATTGCTCAGCATGGATTTATTCCTAAGCGTTCTTGAACTACTAATTTAGCTAACTTTTTAATTCTTGCATATAATGCTCTCAATAACAACTCTCAGTGTGGTGTAATATATACTGACTTTTCAAAAGCATTTGACCGAGTTAATCACGATCTACTCATTTACAAGATCTCTAACTTCGGCGTTACTGGTAACTTATTGAAACTCCTTCGTAGCTATCTTACACATAGAGAACAGAGAGTTATTATTGATGGTGCTGCGTCTGAATGGAAATCGGTACAATCTGGTGTTCCTTAAGGCACTATTTTAGGCTCTTTATGTTTTAATCTTTTCGTCAATGACTTGCCTCATAATTTTACTTCGCAATGTCTATTATATGCTGATGACCTTAAATTGTTCCGACTGGTTATTAAGATTGACGATGCCAAATCTATTCAAGACGATTTAGATATATTGTACTTATTGTGCAACACTTGGGAAATATCCCTCAACTTAAACAAATGCAAGATTTTAAATATCACACTTAAACAAAGTAAATTTCTTTCCCTTATAATGTTAACGGCCACGTCTTGGAGGTCGTATATTTTCACCGTGACCTTGGTATTACTATTGGTTCTAAGTTGACTTTTAATGAGCATAAAACAAGTTTGCTGCAAAAGTAATATAATGCTAGGCCTAATTAAGCGCAAGTGTTGGAATATTACGAACCAAAAAGCATTAACTAATCTGTATTTTTTACTTGATAGACCTTATATCGAATTTAATTCTGTTATTTTTAATTGCATGTCTAAATACATGCCTTACTAAAATTAATTATTATTATTCAAAAACGATTTGTTAAATTTGTTTCTCGTACTTGTAATATCCCTTCCAATTATATCATTCTTCCTACATTAAGTTCTGGACTAAATTACCTTGATTCTCTCTCTTTTTATAATTGCGTTAATGGAGTTTATGGTTCTGATCTTATTTCCGTTTTTGGTTTATCTGTTAAAACTTATCGATGTCGTAATTCTATCAGTTCCTTATTCAATGTTAAATTTTCTCGTGTTAATGCTACTAAATTTAGTTTTATTGTTCGATTACCTAAATTGTATAACTCTCTTGTTGATAAAGATAATTCTATTGATATTTATTATGATTCATTTAAAACGTTTAAGCCTAAATTTAAGTTATATATTTAGATTTTTGACTGTTTTTGTAGTAATGAAAGTATAAATGATAGTACTTATTTTTTGCAGGATGTTATCATAGCAGGTGACTTAAACGCAGGATGTTCATATATCAAGAATTGGAAGGACAATCGCTTGAGGGACGACAGATTTACTTGGCTTATTGATGATAACGCAGATACAAATGTTGCACCATCCGCATGCGCATATGACAGGTAGATACCATACAGATAGAATTATTGATGTTCCTTCGATTATTGAGATTATTATAATTATCAATCATATATGTACTATTTATAGTTTGTATTGTTTGTATCATACAACTCTAATATTCAATTTCAGGTTTGTTATTGCTGGTCAAACCCTTAAGAAGAGTGTTAAGCCATGTTCAGCAAACACTTTTTATTTTAGCGCCATTTACGGACTCGAACTTGAACTTGTAAGTTTGCGTATCCTTAAATATAGACAAATAATTAAATTCAATACAATAAGACAATTTGTAGTTTGAACTGCGCGTGCTCGTATTAATGTCAATCGACATAAGCAAACATACACACAACATGTTTATGTCCATTGGCCTTAGATACGGGCACGCGCAGTTCAAACTACGAACTGACTTACTCAATTCAATGCTTCAGTATGCCATCAAGTTGCCATTATTCGCTAGCAAACGTTACATACAATACAAATTACAATAAATTATTTTAAGAGAAGATAGGTATGAATTGTCTGTAAAGGCATATAAAGGCGGGTGAATCGTCGTTAAGATTTACAAAGTACATTGCATATGAATACTTAGATACATACTTCTAATAATGCATATCCTTATCTTAAATCAAACACAATACCGTTCTGCTAATCTACAGATATTGATAATGTGCATGTCATTTTTATTGTTGTTGTTTTAGACAAAGGCGGTTAGCGACCACTTTCCCATCGAATTCACTCTTTCATAGGATCTCAGGTACAGTTAAGTTGATAAAATTTGATTTATCAGTAGTTTCCAGTCATTAAATATAGGAGATGCTCATTAAGCCAATTTGTGATAAAACTGTGCATGCTCTCTTCAAGGTCAGTCGACATAATCACTATGCACTCAGCACCGTCTAGTCTAGGCTAGCCCAAGAAGCTACTGCTAGTGCCTAGGCCTCAGCCTACCTACCGGTCGGTACCACGGTAGGCTTATGTCGACGATGGACCTCGATTGATCTTATATACGAGCATGAGCAGTTCAAACTACCAATTGGCTTATAAATTAGATCGTCTTTTGGCGCGTGGAGTGGCAGTTTGTGATACTAGAATTTTTTTTTTATAGAATACAGGATCCTGAAATTGAAATATAAAAATCTTAATAATTATCTATCATACGTCTCTATTTCCACTTTTGATTAATGTTGTGTAGTGTGGTAACGTGTAATATAAAATAATTATTATGTATTTTCTAATTTCAGTCATTTAGAAGTTGTGGATGAAGATATAGCTTTGGTTGAGAACATACTCGACGAATTGTAGAATACTGCCTAATAAAAATGTACAAAGATGCTTCATGCGTTAAAGAAGCCTATCATTTAGGAGTCATGTTCACTGCTTAACACTAATTGAATTCTATAGCGTTCTTGGTGTTTCTGTTGGCTTAAATAACATCGTTGTACTGCAAGCCCACTTTCACAGTTTCCATCCTATTAGCCTTAAACGTTCGTTAATATACAGTATAACCAGTTTCTTTGCATCAAACGAATTTGTTCCAATCATTTTGTCTATGAAGAGCAGCGTCTAATTTTATGAATTGCAACTATTATTTATCGATTATCAAAGATATAGCATTATGTAAGTCTCGTTTAGACCTTCTGCCTTACAGACCCAAAGTTAAAAATGATACAATTCCCATAATTCTTGATCACAGCCCTAAGATTAATTCATTAATCAATACACTTAAGAAAGATTATGATACTCTCAAACAAGAAAAATACTCGCCCATCCACCGCCCACAAAGTTTCTTCTATACCGGTTATATGCATTCAAAACTATTTAAACTTTAATAATTGAGATTAGGCATATATATCCTGATATAGATAGAATACCGATCGGCAGTGAAGGTCCTGATTTGCGAGAAGAAGAGCATGCGCACATACTCTTGGAAGCTCTGCTTCCAATCCAGTGTTAAATTGGCTATTCTGACGCCACCACACGGTTGTCACAATAGCAGGGGTGACGCCAGGGCCTGCCCGACGGAGGGGCTAAAGGCCCCGACAGGAGGGCTAGTGGAGCGAATCGAGTCTCACTTGGCTGGGGGCCAGGGGGGCCGCCTAGGGCCCCCGGTGGCAAGGCCCCCTGGAAGCCACGGATATTTGATGAATTATGGCGAATTTTTATTACTTATTTGATAGGCATCGAGTTACTATAATGTGACTTCATGTAGGCTATGCTTTCTAATGTTGACATCAGCTTCCAAAACCAAAACATTTTGAATAAAGCAAGAAACACAGAGTATGCAATGTAACCATCTAATTTATTTTCAAATCCTCATTCTTGAAAGTGAAATTCTATATTTTGGAAATTTTGTATGAAATCTGTCAACCAGGTTGTCATGGTCGAGGTTGCTTCACCTATCACGATGTATTCCAACCATCATGATGGTATCTAAATGAGCATTTGTCATAACAGAACGCAAATTATTTTTAATTAGTCTCATTGATTTATTATTATTATTATTATTATTATTATTATTATTTATTATTTATTATTATTATTATTATTATTATTATTATTATTATTATTATTATTATTATTATTATTATTATTATTATTATTATTATTATTATTACTATTACTATTATTACTATTACTATTATTACTATTACTATTATTACTATTACTATTACTATTACTATTACTATTACTATTAC